TTTTAATATTTTATTCTTAAGCCCAAATTCAAAACAAAACAAAAATTCTAGATAGACAACTTAAACTAACAGAGAAAACAGAAAAAGTATATATGGAAGAAAGGTAATATACGTAATCCCTGTTTATTTAGTGAGTAGGTAGTTTTATTTTTAACATTTTTTAACCATTTTTTAACAATTTTTTTTTTTAATTTTTTTAACATGGTATTTAATATTTTTTTTACATAGCTTTTTAATTTTTTTTATATTCGTTTTTTATAAATATCCCAGTGCTAGAAGAAGGTGAGTAAGACATAAATTAAGGTAATTTAATAATTTTTTTGATATATATTTTTTAATTTTCAATTATTTTTATAATTTCTGATTTGGGCAGTGTACTCACAAATTTTTTCACTTTATTTTTAAAAAGGGGTGTTTTCTTAATTTTTCTTATATTATCAGGTAATAACATGTATAGTCGAGGTGTCCTAGTTTTTTATTCGCTTTCATTGTCGCTTTGTTTTTATATCGTGTATTATATGAATGTTTTATCATTTGTAAGGAGTTTTTATTTTTTTGTTGTAAGATGAGCATTCTGTAACATTGCAGTTGTCGAATGTCAAAAATACCTGTCTCTTGAAATAAGGCATCAGTTGGGTAAGTTCGTTTTTTATTACTCATTATTTTAAGAAAGGTTTTTTGAATAATTACTAGCCTTTTTAGGTTTGTTTTATATATTCCTCCCCATGCCGTTATTCCATACTAAATAAGCGATTCAACTAATAGTAAATCGTTTTGAGATTTTTATAGTTGAGGAAAGCTGCTAATTTTTTAAATTTAAATAAAATATATCGTAATTTTTTTAATAGTTGTTTGACATGAGTTTTCCAGTTTAAGTTATTATCAATTTCAATGTCCGAATATTTAATTGTGTTTACCTCTGCTATTTGAAGATTTGGTCCTATATGTAAAGAACTATATTGTGGTCTGTTATTATTTCGACAGGAGGAAGCTATATATTTTGTTTTATCTATACTAATTGTTAAGGACATTTCATTGAACCAAAGTTTAATTTTTTTTATATCAATTTCTAAATTAACTCTTAATTCTTTCCAGGTATTAGCTATATACTGTATAACGGTATCATCAGCGAAAGAGGAAATGCTTCCAATTGAGTTTATTTGTAATAGACCGTTTATATATGCTGTAAAAAGTATATGTCCCAATACAGTACCCTGCGGAACTCCAAATTTAATTACCTTTGAGGTGCTTCGTGAGTCACCGATTTCCACATATTGTATTCTTTTATTAAGGTAATTTTTTATTAGATCTAATGCAACCCCTCTAATACCAAGGTCCTCGAGCACACCTAACAACTTATTATGGCTCACTGTGTCGAAGGCCTTTGCTAGGTCGAGAAATATACATATTGTATCTTTATTATCATCAATAGCTTTGTAAACTTTATTAGTCAGATACACTACTGCATCATCTGTCGATATCCCTTGTCTAAAACCGAACTGCTTCTCCGATAGCAACATGTGTTTTTCTTACCTGGGTTTATATAAAAGAAAACGGAAGGTTTAACATGGGATAAAATCTATTGTTAGCTGATATCTTTACTTTTTTTCGTTACCTTTATCTGAATTTTTTGTTCTTTTCTGACAATATTCTGTATCTCTATGGCTATAAAATTTGAAGGCGCTAAGCAATATATAAGACTAGTAACACTGCTAATTTATTGGTAAGGTTTCGACATTACATTTTTGTGTCCCACGTGTTTTCTTATTTAAGCACATCTGGTATTAAACCTAAAAAACTTCTAAAAAATCTTTTTACCCGAAAATATTATACCATTTCAGGTTCAGCTATTTGCGCTATATCTAATCTGTAACAGGAGAATTATATGATGAATCACTATAAAATTGTCTTGTTAAATATTCTAACATGGACTTAATAACGTAGAAAATACCACTACAATTTTAATCGGGAATTATATTCTCTAGGCGTAGTATCCGATATCCATGAGAGTTTACGGAATAATATCCCTGCCACCAGGGAAATTATTCCTGAGAAAGAATGCATACCGGAACGAGAGGTTATTCTTTGAAAAACGGAAACTGCTAATCACCATTCCGACTACTATTCTGAATAACGGAAAGCTTTATCAGCTCGATAATTAAATTTGGAAAATATAAAGAGGCAACGGTTCACACCATCGCCAAATGGCATGAGCAAGAGTATTCAACTTGGGATATTGTACACTTCCCATTCGGTTAACACATAGTGATAGTACCTACAATGTTATTGTGGTGTTTACTTGCGAAACTACCTGTATATATTTTACCTTCTTGGTTGTTTCTATAGTTTTAAGTTTTTATGGTTTTTTGAAATTTGTTATATACCTAATATATTTTGATGATCTGTATGTATCAAGTTTTGAAAATACATCATCTCTAACAGAAGCCTTGCATATTATTAAAAAATCAATAACTTTATATTTTATGGTATGGCGCTCCGTCACCATAGTTATCTTCTCGGTACAGTATGGTAATTTATGGTTTTTCGTCTGTAAAACATTTTAACCTGAACAAAACTGATAAAAGCTGTAGAAAATTTATATGATACTCTTGTTCAGATTCTAACAAAAAAAAAACATTGCAGAACACGCTCCTAAAGCAAAGTGTTGGGATGAGGGGATTGGCGGAGAAGGAATATATCAAATAGTTCCAGCTTTCAACTATGTGGTCGAATCGAAGCATATACAGGGGTCGACAATATATCTTATTTACGAGACGAGGCAGAAATTTATATCTGCCATATGACAAGTCTTAAGTTTTAAAAGTAACAATAAATGGGATATATCCAATGGATCGACTTTTTTGCACCTGAAAGCGTAAGTCTAATACGGGGATGAATGACTCAGTAGTTGGTGTGGACTTCCGGATTTGAGGGTACCGGGTTCGAATCCCTCCAGGGCCGGGATTTTTCTAATGAATTAAATAATTAAAAATTAATAATAATACATTCTACTCTACACTATTGGGTTCTAATTTTCTGTTGGTTTCTAATTAATCATAAACTGGCGATGGGAAACAGTAATTAAGCGCATACACACTAATAAATAAAAAACATGAAATTATATAGTACCTATTAGTGTGTCAAATGCCATAAAAAAACTGAAAAATAAATCGAATATGATTGTGGTCAAGTTGTTTGTCCTACAACCTAAGGGATCTTGCAATTATAATACTAATCCAGGTACTTACATAACATTGTTAAACATTTTTGTGAAATCAAATACATACTTGGTAGCTAGGTACTTATAATTTTTTGTGAATATGATCTCATATGCGATTATTTTATCTTTTATTGATTTTTTTGTGTATCCATTATTACATGATTATGCGTATTACAAAATTTAAAAAAAAATTTAAAGGTACGACTTTCCAAATAATAATCACAAGTAGGTAGTTCTAATAAGACAAGACTACTGCTATTATTGATATTGATATATTTGAACTTTTTGAAAATGTTTACACAGAAAATTATATCATTATACAAATAACGGCAGATTGGTACCCATATATTCGTGATTCATTTTTTTTTTAACGAGTGCAAATAATAAATTATTAATCTATCCAGCGATAATATCAGAATAATTTAAACAATACACTCTTAAGTATATTCTAAACAGTATGAGATATATAGTCATTTAAATGGGAAAAATTACTACTTTGGGAAAAAGTATTATTTTGAAAAAAGTACTATTTTGGGGGACATTATAGTGTCTGTAGTCTATTGCTTCAAAACTTACTAGCCACAAAGAGATTTTGGAACAATAATCAAAACAATTAAAAAAATAATAAACATTCATTGAAAAAACCAACAACTTAATCATCTTTATAGAAGTTTTGATGCTAATTTAGTTGTTTTTGTTAGAACATTACTTGTTTCTTGTTCTTATAGCAGCCTAGTTATCTTTAATGGCAGAATAAAAAGATGTACCTTCCTGAATTACTTTTTATTGACAACTATATTTATTCAGTGACATTAACAACAACTAAATCAAAGTATATATAAATAAAACTAAATGTAGATGATTAAGTCATATTGCTTCAACAGTTTTTTCCGCAAACAAGCAATAATGGAATTTTTTTCCTTGCGCCAATGACGAAAAACTACTAGACTAATCCATGCATTCATAATTAAGTACTTATTTATTAGAAATTAAAAGTATGCAGATTGTGTTTTATGTTAGGCACACATAGCTGTCGCATCGGTTACCGCAATAGAAAACTAAGACGCTTGCTTAACTGAGTGGGGATGGTTTTCGCTGCTCATATAATTCCTACTTTATACCGTTGCCACACTTTAAAAGAAATTGTATATTTTTCTGTTAATAACCTTCAGCTACAGTAATAGTAACCAGAAAAAAGTATTAAACAGATAATAACTGGCATTAAAAAAGCAAATATATTTCCTTAATGTAATTTTCAGAGCCTTTTGTACGTTTGAGAACCTTATGTTAAAACGATCCCGAATTATAACCATAAACAATCCTTGTAATAAGACTACCATAATAATTTGACTACGTGAATAATACCGTGAATGCTTGTAATTTGGTTTTTGTAAACAAAATTAGTCATTGCTTTGCATAAAAAAACAGAAATGGCATTTTTGGATTTCACTCGAGAATGGCAATCGACCCTTTATATTATTTTCACATTATTAACACTTTCGTATATATTCTTCTTCTTCGTCTTCTATGATCCCAAACGGTTTATAATATAGCAATTTTGACACATGATAAAATTAATTTCTTTGTATTAAACTATGTGCAAATGATTTCAAGTTTACTTTATCTCATCTTGGTCCCCCTATCTGTTTAAGAATATTGACGCTTCAAATGCAATTTTTCGAAATTTGCCATAAAAACATCTTGCTTCCTATTCCTCCCTGAACAAATTTAATTTTCACCAATTTACTACACTAGCTTTACATATTTGTTCCAAACTTACCTTTTATTAGAGATTCTTCCATCCTAACAGTAGTTTGTGTACTGTTTTCTTCAATTTCTTCTGTAGTTCCCACAACGTTTATCCAATCGTTTAATACAAAAAATCTTTTCGGCAGCAAAGGTTCAGAATGGTGTTTTTGAGGGCCGTGATGAGGTCGGTAGAGGACATTTTGACTAACTTTTTCTAAGATTTCGTCTGGAGCTATGTAACCATCTTGTTTTTTTAGCAGGTCTTTTTTCAGATCTTCTGTATATCTAAAATAAAACAGAAATATAAATAACACGTGTTTGGTTCTGTAGCTTAAATTAATGATTATGATAAAACAGTCTGTTGAAAAATAAAAAACATATTTTGTAACGAACCTGAAACTATTTTCTTAGTAAATTGTCTTAATAAAAATTGAAAAATTAAAAAAAATTCTGCTGTGTATGACTATCAAGCACAAAGTGGCGCTTCCAAAATCAAGATTAAAGATAATGGAAAATTAAAAATGTTTTGTTCAAGGAATTACTTAATTTTGCCTAAAAATAAACCCCTCCAAACAATCAAGGCAATGTAAAACTACTAATATCTACATATTTGCTGAATGCAGAGTATTTTGGAATATTGTTCTCTAGTTTAAACGACTTATCTTACTGCAAAAAATGGCACATCGGTTTTTTTACTTGCTATTTATAGAGGTGCAACATGTACTATGTTCCGGTGGTGGGAGCTGTCATGGGACCTGCCAAATTCAAAGTAAAGTTGCTTGTCGATGGAATTTTAGTTTTTGGCTAGTAATGAAAGATATCCTTCTAGACGTTTATAACAATAAAACAATCCTATGCAAGCATTTTCTGTCATCCGTTTTTACTGGTATCCAGTCAATTCGTCGCGCGACAATTTATCGCGCGACCTTTCAGAGCCGACAATTCATCGCTACGACAGTTTATCGCTACGACAATTCATCGCCACAAAAATATCGTATTGTATCTATGATTTATACAGTATGTCTGAACAACAAACAATTTTTTTTGTGCTATATTGAATTTTTCTTATAAGTACCAAATAAAATTATTTTTTCGAAAAAATTACAAAATATCTTACTCTAAATTACACAAAAGTATGATTTACTTTTTTTCTGCTAATCAAGTAGTTTTTACTAAGAAAAATATAATAAATATCAATAATGTATTATTGATAAGCCAATTTAAAGTGTATAAGCGGCAGTCGCAGGTTCTTTACCTACTATTTAAAAAGGATTATCTTCATTAGCCAATTCGGGTAAGTTACCACATTAGTTAATAATAATAGAGAATTATAATTATCCTTTATTAATCCTTTCAAGGAGAAATTCATAGTGCAATCAATATTTAATTCTAAAAAGGATTATCTTCAATAGCTTGTTTGTGTAAGTTAGTATTTTAGATGCCCTGTTTATAATATATGTATATAAGGTTTAAATAAGAAATACCAACGAACTGTAATCATTCTTATTTTGTCTTTGTACGAGTTTACATCATTGTAAAATTTGAAAATGCCGTTACAATTTGTTGACAGCGAAAGAGGTCACAAAATGCTTTTATACAATGGCCATACACATTCTAGAGAAAAAATTTCTGGAGAAAAAGGTATTTGGAAATGTTCTCTATATCATAAATGGAGATGTACCGGTCGCATTCATACCATAGGCGATGAAATTGTGAAGAGTACCGAACATAATCATGTGTCAGATAGTGCTGATGCCGAAGTAAGAAGAGCTGTTAAAAAAATGAAAGTTTTAGCTGAACAAAGTGGTTCCACTACTCAACAAATCATTGCAAAGGTTTCCGAGGGTTTATCATCATCGGCTGCAGCCAGATTACCACAAGTGAGTGCAATGAAAAGAACTATTCAACGAAAAAAGGAAAAGACAGAAGGAATTCCTGCGATTCCAAATTATCTGCTTCAATTAGTTATTCCACAGGAATATACACTGACAAGCAGTGGTCAGTTATTTTTAATGTACGACAGCGGCCCATCAGAAGATCGAATATTAGTGTTTACAACAGCAAGAAATCTTGACTACATGTTGGAGTGTGAACACTGGTACGGAGATGGGACTTTTTCAACAGCCCCTAATATGTTTTCCCAAATATATACAATCCATGGCGTCAAATATTCAAATGCCATTCCAACAGTATATGCAATTCTGCCGAATAAAAGAGAAGAAAGCTATAGACGTTTATATGCAGCATTAAAAAATTTGAAACCTGAACTTTGCCCTACATCTTTTTTAATGGATTTCGAAAAAGCAGCGATGAATGCGGTACGAAGTGAATTCCCTAATACTCAAATTCGTGGATGCTTTTTTCATTTTTCTCAGTGTATATGGAGACAAATCCAGAATACCGGATTTCAGAGGCGATATGTGGATTAAGAAGTGTTTTCATCAAATTTGCGACTTCTGGCTGCACTTGCTTATGTTCCTGAAGACGATGTAGAGAGTGCTTTTGATTTATTATTGGAAAGTGAATTCTATGCAGAAAACGAGGACTTAGCAGATTTAATAAACTATTTTGAAGACACGTGGATTGGTAGATTAGACAGGAGAGGAAGAAGACGGTTACCAAAATTTCCTATATCTTCTTGGAATTGTTACAATGCAGCTAGAGAGGGAATTGCTAGAACCAATAATGCAGTTGAAGGATGGCATAACAGTTTCAGTTCAATTGTTTTATTGTTTTATTAGCGAAAAGGTCAATCACTCGTCTATTAAAGTCATCAATGTTAATTAAAAACACTTTTTCAGCGCACTTATCCTTTTTAACATAGAGAAACATCTTTCAGCTTCGGATGTTGACATAGGTGTTGTCACTAAAACTTCCAGTAATTTAATATTTTCTTGAAAAGTGTACTTCATATCTTCCTGCGAAACTAATGATAACAGAGGAATGGTTCCAGAAATGGTTTGCAACTCTTGTCTTTCGTAAAGTACTTGCAGTTCTGTTTTTAGACGATTTTTTTCTAGAAATTGATATGCGTCAACTGTATCAGAGAGCAAATGATCAGGAAAGTTTTTTTGGTACTCAATAAAATGTTCTTTCATGAATAATGTGGTAGCTATCAGATGTCCTGTGAAAGTGAATCTATTTTTCTATTTGTTGAAACAAATAGATCGGAACGAGGGCAACGTCGCTTTTTCTGAGGAACAAAATCATCTTCGGTTTCTAAAAGCTCCGAATCTATTTTGTCAATAATTTTATCCATTTCATTACGAATTTTTTGCATTGCATTTTCAAAGTTTTTTAGATCTTGTTTAGCCTTGATAGGATCGGTATTAATCGTCTGCAGTTGCTAAAAAATTATTTCGACATGTGGCATGACTTTATGAAAAACTGTTGACCAAAATATGAAATCTCTGTCCTGTAATCTAAGTTTATAAGCACCGGCTTGCTCAATCGTAGAATTTAATTTAATATCTTTGTCGTTCTCTAAAATATTCATAACGTGTATCAGTTCATTTCGGTATTCATAAACTATATTAACTCCTCGTGATTGGAAATTCCATCTCGTTTGTGGTGAGCGTAGTAATCGTCTATGAACTATATCATCCAATACTTTTGTTCTTTGAGGTGATGTAGAAAAAAAAAGCACAAATTCCAGTTAAATGAGCCAAAAAAAATCGAACAGACGCATTAATTGAACCTGCACTGCTCATTATAAGGTTAATCTGATGTACATAGTAATGAACATAAAGAATATTATATATGTATCTTTAACGCTCATGACTGACGCTCCTTCGTAACTCTGCGCGATCAACTTATTTGGTGTGTCATTAATTAATGGATTAATTTCATTTAAAATGCAATTTGCTATAGAAATGGCATTGTATCCGGGAGGATTTACAAATTTCCAAAATCATTCTACTGGCTTACTGGAGGCAATGTATCGTAGAATAATGACCAATTGAAATTCGTTAGCAACATCGGTAGTTTCGTTAGCAATTACAGCTACATAATTCGTTTTTTTTTTATTTCTTTAGCCACTTCTTCATGGTAAACGCCAAGCATGCAGTCCAATAGTTCGTTCTGTATGGTCTTAGAGGCCCCTTTAAATACTGTTGCTTTGTTAAAATGTTCCTTTAAATTTGCATCTAATTCAGAACTAAAATCTATCAATTCTCGGAACACTCCTTTATTTTTGGATTCTTCGGTTTCATCATGTCCGCGCAATGCTAATTCTAATACACCACAAAATCTAATACAGTTAATAATGATGTTTAAAATATATCTGTTTTTATTAACTTGTTTATTGTGGGTAATAATATTTTGTCTATAAGCCGAATTTAAATGAGTCAGTATATTTGATTTTCCAAGCAAAGAATAACTAAAAATATTATTTACATGGGCCTTACTGTTTTCATGTGTTTTAATGTTCTCATAAATGTGTACCAAATCAGTTACACCATGCATCGTCAACGAAGAATCGGCCCCGAACAAAACACACACAAAACAAAAAATGCGTTTTTTTCATCACATCCACAAATCCAGTTATTTTTTGAGTACAAATTCCGGTTAAACTCTCTTATCTGGCCTTTGAAGTTTGACGAACTTGAGGTGGAAGCCTTCTGCGTTTTTGTTGTATCCAAATCGGGAAAAGGTCTCCTAACTTCTTTTATTTGGATTTGTTCCTCGAGCGAGTGCGTAGAAAAAGGTTTCAGTAACAGATTGCTTATTTTATTCATTTTGCTTCGGACTCTCGGACGATTTTTAATTTATTTTACTTTAAAAACTCAACTATTCTAACTAACTACCTAACAAACAAAAATTCAGCACGCATAAAATGTCAAAACAATACTATTCTAACTATTAATTCCGAGCCGCTTGAAACGTGGCCCCGTTTGAATGTATAAGAAGCGCTTTCTACAGGCGAATGGCGTGACCTTTAGAAAACTTTTACAATGGATTAATATGTACAGTTCATCAAATTTCTAGAGGCTTTCGACGGCTAGACAGAGAAAGCACTACTGACAGGCATCCCGACGGATTTACGCAATGAAAGTACACTCTGCGCATCAAGTATTTCACTATTTCATTCAGACGTAAATGTCAGATGTAAATTTCGCTAAAACATTTCTTTTATTTTCGTTTGTGTTTTTTGCTCATTACAGTTTAATAGAACCTAAGTATGGAGTTTAATAGCAAATTAAGAGGCCGCATGATTAACAGTCAATCTCGCGAAATAATAGCCAATGTTATAGAGTTTATGAGAAGAGAAGGAAACTTTAATTCAC